TGCCATGATGGATCAGTGCGACCCTTAGAGCCCCCACTGAAGCAGCCTGTCTGTAGGGCAGAGACGGGTGGGTGAGTCAAGGGGGGCTGGTGGCAGCAGATGCCACCCACCCTCGTAAAACACTGCCCGGGTCAGTATGTGGACAAAGAAGTCTCTCGGGGGGGGGGGGGGGGTGGGATGCAGAGTAGTGCGTTCCTCTCATGTGCAGCAGTGCAATGTCACACTGCATTACGGTAGCTTTCCTGTGCCGATAGGTTTCGCCAAGAGATGGACCAAAATGCCGTATAATTAATCACTACACAAGCAAAATGTCTCGGATTAATTGTTAAAATGCGCCATTTTTCGGTTTTCTAAAGTGAAGATGCGTGCCTCTACAAAAGGGAATGGGTGGTGTGGTTTGTGTCGTGCATTGTTGTATTGGTTAGCTCACTGCACTATGAATCCAGCGACATGCGTTAAATTCCCAGCGACGGCTAAATTGAGTGGTCAGTGGTGTCTGATCTCTGGTCCTGAGCTTCCTCCCACTCTGACCAGCGTGGTGAAGTTTGTAAAAAGGTCCTGATGACTGACATAACATGCTGAGGCCTTGATCTAGTAGGAGATTAACAAAGGGCTGTGAATGATTAAATTAGATGAAAGAGAAAATGCTATGCTTTTATTTGGTGTGAAAATGCTTTGAGGGTGGAAATCACAGATGAATATATTTTTTCTGAGAAAATGTGGTTTATGTTTTCAAAAGTTAACAAGTAAAGCATGCATTATATATACCCAAATAACTAATATGCTTGGAAACTATGACTGTTGTTTGGGCACGTTTATGTTTCATGAGACATATGCATCATGACTTAAAACTTTCGTGACTACAGGAATTCATATTCTTTGGGTCTTTCGGTAAAGACCCAAAGAATATTTGGCTTTACGGAAAGACCCAAAGAATATATATGGCATCATATTTAGATGAAAGCTACAATTTTGCTGTTTTGTTGCCAGAAAAAAGGGGAAAACCTATTCTCATATTTTGGTACTGGCAAAGGAGGTCCTATGATGTAGATGTTCACTCCGAACTCTCATTACTCTGATAGTGGCATTGTCTTTGTGCTGTACGCCTTTTGGCGTCCTCTGGTCTAACACCTGTTGAGACTAGGCTCGAAAGAAAGTTGCCTCTGGTATGGACCAATCAGTTTCAAAGACAATGCATATGTCGTGACTGGGAATGCCACTGTGTGGTGCCGGGCCTGCGAGGCCACGGCGGGATGTATACTGTGCCTGACACCTTAGCAATAATTGAAGATTTAGTCCAACATGGACTGAATCCTGATGTTCCTACTCTGGTTAGGCACTGCCTTACCAACACTTACTTCACCTGGAATGGTACATTCTACGAACAAAATGAAGTTACCCCATAGGTTCCCCCTTATTACCAGTGATAGCGAATGTTTTCATGGAAAAATTTGAAACAGATGCCATCAAGACATCCGCCCTACGTCCTTCCTTGTGGAAGAGATATGTAGATGACACATTCGTCATTTGGCCACATGGCCTGCGAGCTTTGAACCAATTTCTCAACCACATTAATTCCATACACCCATCCATCAAATTCACCATGGAAGTGGAGAAGGATGGTCAGCTACCATTCCTGGATGTTTTGTTTGAGAAGAGACCTGATGGCTCGTTGGGACACTGTATACAGGAAAGTCACCCACACATGTTCCTATCTGAAACCTGATTCCCACCACCATTGGACACAGAAGAATTCCCTCATCAAAACACTACACCATAGGGCTAACTGCATTTCTGACCAACACCACCTAGCCAGTGAACTGGAACACATACACCAGGCCCTCAAGATGAATAGGTACTCGGACCGCATTATTCGCAAAGCTGTTTTTCCAACCATGGAGAAACAACCCCCTCAGACGCTGATCAAAACCATCACGTTACCATACATAGCAGGTGTAATCAAAAAGATTTCCAAAATCTTAAACAAACACAAGACCCTGTGGTGGCTGTTAGATTGGGGAAACGAAACGACATATCTCGGACCGTGTTCGCGAGCACAAGTTAGATCTAAAACACGGCCGAACCAATACCTCCGCCGTGGCTGACCATTGTTATAACGCTGTGGGCTCTCATGATATTGTTTTTTTTCCGAGACCAAGGTACTCTGCAAACCTTCGGGCTACTATCAAAGGTTTGTTCATGAAGCCATCCAGGTATATAAACATAGACATAACTTCCACCGAGAAGATGGATACAAATTGAGCAATCATTGGAAGGATGTTATGAACCAGGCAAAACCTTAACTGCTTTGTGGTGTTGCCTTCATATCCGCATCTCCAGTTTCTTCAGCCTCCCACTCCTAGCCCCGCCCACTTCCCCCCCCTCCCCGGCAATGTGTCTGCTCGTCCTCGAAACGCTCTCGCAGTGCTCCACTTCCCCTACCCCACACCCCCCCCCCCCCTCTCTATCTCTCCTCCCTGGCTCCTCCCCCCCTCTCTTACCTATATAGCCTCTTGTCACGGCAGCCCTTTTGCCCACTTCAGAAATTGTTTCTTGCTGTGGTTGTCCCACCTGATGCCGAACGCTTGTGTTGCGCCCGAAACGTCGTGATTTAATTTATTTTATTTTATACCTACGTGATTTTACCGAAAGAACCAAAGAGTATGGGATGTATACTGTTGTGTGTACACCCCGGACATGGGGTGTAGTACCAGCCCTAGTGGGGGCTTGGGTGAGCGCTGGTTAAGCACGGTGGCACCACGCACAGCGTGCAGTGTGGGTTCCCTTTGAGAAAGCGAGAGAGCGTCAGCCAGCTAGGGTTACGTTGGGGGCATGCTACTCTGGCTGACCTGGGGACACGTGACCGGATGATATTGGAGGGGGGCCACCGGTGGAGGGGGCCAATGGGTGGTCACATGGTCCGGGAAGAACTTTCGAGAGCCTTTGGGCAAGGGCGAGAGAGGTCGAGAAGGTGGGCGGGGCGAGAGGCGGAGCCAGCCCCAGCCCGGCCCGATATAAGGGGGGCCCTGTGAGGGGCTCCGGGTTCTTACTGTTGGAGAAGCAGGAGATACACGTCAAGCTTGAAGATGCCTCCAGCCACGCGGTCCGGGACCTGGCTTGTGGTCCGGACCAGGATAGTGGAACCGTGTCTAGTTCCGACGTAGCGTGGTTAGTTGGGTAGTCACCACCCAAGAGTATGTTGTGTTAATAACCTGGAGTATGTTGTGCAAATAGTTTAATAAAACGTGTTGCTTCCTACGACAACGTCTGCGACTCAGTTGGACTCACTATACATATTATTAGAATATGTTTTTTTTGCATTCTGACCACAAGTATTGTGGTTAATGCAGACATGATTCCTTGTAAAAGGTTTCAGTTTGGTTTTTAACATCTTAACACCTGTTTTGTTGCCAGAAAAGGGGAAACCCTATTCTCATGGAAATATCAGTTTCGCTTAAGATGTGACACTTTTATTGCTTTTTTAATCAATTGAATATTTAAGTACTATAACCATTCACTAACGATTATTTGAGTTTTGTGGAAATTTTGAAAAGCATTAGGAAAACACCCTGCAAAGAAAGTGACTTAAAAAAGTGCACGGATTTTCACGAAGTAAGAATTGCATTACACATATCCACACTTAACTAAGTTGCCTCTGTGGTAGCAGTTACATTGGAGAAACCAAACGCCATGTCTCGGACCGCATTCGTGAACACAAAGCAGACCTTAAACACGGTAAGACCAACACCTCGGCCGTGGCAGATCATTGTTACAATTCAGTAGGCTCACATGACATTGACTTCTCCAAGACAGAGGTTCTTTGTAAGCCATCTGGTTACCATGAGAGATTCGTTCATGAGGCTATCCATATATACAAGCACAGAGACAATTTCAACCGAGAAGATGGATTCTGGCTTAGCAATCATTGGAAGGATTTGATAAACCATTTCAGGTCTTAATTGATTGTTCACGCTTACGGTGGCTTTCAGACAGCATACATTAATTTTTCGTCTCCCCCCTCCTCTTTTCAGAACATAAATGGACTCGTCCTTCTAAACAAACTGCCAAATCGCTGCCCGTGGCGCTGACGTTTTTTAAAAATAAAGAAGTGCATGCAAACACCGTTTTAAAAATAAATAAATAAAGCCCGCCACTTCTTTCAAATGTTTCTTGACGTTGGTTTTCACACCTGATGATGACCGTTTGTGTTATGGTCGAAACGTCGTGAGAATTTTTATTGTTTTATATATATTTTATTAGTTTATTGTTTCCCTTCAACGTGACTTTAGAGAAAGAGCTAAGAATATGAATTACTGCAGTCACGAAAGCTTTAAATCAAAAGAAAATTAAGATTTATTTTAAATTTAGAACAAAAAATTGTACAGAACCCCCAAGACAAAACGAATCTTGTCTGTGCGATGCAACCTACACAGACATAATACACACACTAAATGAGTGCACTTCATATCCAAGGGAAATGAGAGAAATATATACGGTATTGACCACTGCGCTACATTGTTAAAAATACGCGCTTGGATATTTCTATATGTGATAGTATGTATTATTAAAGCCCAAGATAATAACACGTGTGACACGGTTTTATACCATGCATAACGCGTGTGAAAGGTCCACTTCATTCAACACATGTCCACACACATTTATTACAATCTTGCAGGCTGTGGCAAATAACGAATTTCATTAAATGCGCCGAGACAATAAAAATGCAAAGCTCCCATCTAGCCAAATTTGTAAACATTAAACAACATTCTTGTGTATCGCTTCAGAGAGACTCGTTTTTTTATGATTTCAATAAATAGTTGTCTGGTTTGTTGAAATAAGTTCATCTCATTTGGCTCGGCTTTCACCATGCAAGGGACGGCTAAAAAACAAAATGATTTACAACTCGCAAAACCCGTGCTGTTTGATGTTGCTGAACTGGGCCGCTGTGAAACACTGGCGAGCCAATGCATGTCCACGCTCTGCACTGTGCCCTGAGTGTTTGGAGTAAAAAAAAATCCCGCAATCATTGTAAGACGTCTTTTGTCTCTGTGCTCTCGTTTAAAGTAAGCAAAATCAACGCGCAAGAGCATCCAATCGCCGCGGGAAACTGGGAATGAACCAATGGGCGAACCGCGAGGTTTAATATCAGGGAGGAGAGACGAGGAGGGGAGGGAGCCAAGTAGGCTTTAATGCCATTACACACATCTGCTCTCACGCATAGCCAGACACCAGCGGCGGGGCTTGCGCCAGGAGCGGGCTTGACCAAAGTGCATCTCCACACCGCTGCGCAGTCCGCATAGCGGCGTGCATTCCACGGCCCTTGCGCGGTGCGTTTGGCCCCGAGGAGCTGTCGCCCTCCCGCGCTACCTTCTCCTCCCCGTGCGCTACAGTTTCTTCCTCGTGTGTCTCTCTCTCTCTCTCTCCCTCCGCCTGTCCACTTCTCTCGACATGTGGCCCAGAGTCGGGCTGCTCGTCGCCTCGCTGGTGAGTCTCGGGGAGAGGAGCCGGGTGCTGCTGAGCCGTCTGGTGCCCTGCATGAGGGATCGCTCGCTTTGGGGTTCGGGTCCTGGCCACGCGCGCGCTGTGCGGCACGTTTGGGGGCCTTTGATGAACGGCAGCCCTGGCTTAGTAGGGGTGAACGATTTTGGGGAAAATATCTAATTGCGATTTTTCTGACTGATATTGCGATTTGATTCTTGTTTTTTTTTTAAAGTCAAGCTTCAGTTCAATATTCACTGTGTAATAGATTTAAGACACGTGATGGAGCATTACCACATGATACCATCAAAATCTGAACTGCTCTATATATCTTGATTTGATGCAAGGGTGAGAACTTAAAATATATGAATTGCTTCCAACATGCATTTATTATAATCTTTTAATTGAAACAGAACAATCAAACTTAGAACGATTGTTAAGTTAAATAAATAAAGTTGTAATAATAAAAAAATGAAACAATTCCAATAAGAAAGTAATCGGACTTTTCAAATCGCAAAAAAATCGCAGCCTTTGCGATTTGCTAATCGCATTGTTTCAAATTGCGATTTCGTTTTGAAATCGATTAATCGTTCAGCCCGAGTTTGGGGTACCTTATACTCTTTATTTAACCAGTGTGAGTACAGAAGATTTGAGTTGTGATCTGCACGGACTTGTAGTAGTCGTAGTTAGTGCGTTGCTATAGCACGTGCTTCAATTTACGTATGTTGAACTTTTTTTCGCACCGTACATAGTCAACCGTGCTAATCGGAGGTGCGGGGAAGGACAACAAACTAAACACAAAGACCAGTGTTCTATTAATGTATACCTGTACTGTAGTTGTAAGAATACTAAACTCTGTACCACTTGATGGCACACTTGATGTGTATATATGCACGAACTACGGTCGTTGATATTTTAGACGCACTGTTTTAAACCTGCACGTGAAATTATAAATAAGGGTGACTGGCGGTAGGGGCTGTAGCGTGGATGCTTGTCATCCCCGACAACATGCCAACGTTGGGTGTGATTGGAGCCAATATTGTGCCAATAAAGTGAGCGCAATTTGGGCCAAACCTTCCATATTGACGGGAATTTTTTATGTGAATTGTGACATGTATATGGGCGTGCGCATATCACACAATGACTTAGCGCAAAGTATCGTCAGCAACCTCGTAGTGAGAGCGCATCTGCAAATGCCACGGCATGTGAGCTGCTGAATTAGTTCTAGGCCGAATAATAAGTGCCGTTGGGATGAATCTAACGCGAACCTAACAAAATTAACTGCTGGTGTAATGACTTCCGACAATATTGAATTCCAGGAGTTCTTAGGAAATCTCTGATTCTAAGGTCCGCCTGGTGTGTGTCACGCATCTTTCTGATGGCCCATTCATTGATCTGCGATAAAAAATAGTTGTGCTTCCAGATGTGTTGTTCACGGCAACTCATGACTCTTCGCGTGTGTTGCCCTGCCAGGTTTGATTTAGGGGAAATATAATAATCGACGACATATGGAGCAGCCGGCGGAAGGCGGTGGGGTTTTATTGGTCGTTGAAGGGTGCTCCCGTAACCTGCTCTGCTCTGCGGGGCGATTTTATTAAGGTTGGGTCTCGTCCCGTTTTAGGCGGCTCAACATTTCAAATGCAAGTAAATGTATTGTTTGAAACTTTAAACAACACCAGCCACGACACCGGACACCCCACCGCAATTGATAAAGTGGTATAGTTGTGTACGTGCCGCGATTGTAATGATTACGATGTTCGTTTTCCATGAAATTCGCGTGAAAGTGATTTTTTTGCGAATGGAGACTCACATTTCACAAATAGTGTCCTTGGTGGGACGATTTTGTAGTAACGCACTAAGACGGTCACCGCATCGCGCACTTTGAGATGCGCTTCTGCGGGCCGTCTGGAACGCTCTTCTTTCCGATATTAGGAAGCCGCTGGCGCTATGCACTTTAAAATCTAGATCGGGAACTCATTTCTTTAGAACTGTTTTTTTTCTGTTTAGTTTGTTGTCCTTCCACGCGCCTCCGATTAGCACGGTTGGCTACGTACGGTGCAAAAAAAGTTCCACATACGCACACATCGCGTGCGCGAGTGCATTACAGCACCACACTAAGCCAAGCGTAGATTTAAATGTTGACGGTACAGTCTAAATATTTTAAAAACAAATTTGTATTCTATTTTCAGGAAGAAAAAACACACACCTGGCGTCGTTTGTGCATATTTAACATTAACTCGTAAAGGCTGTGCATGCGATAGATTAAGTAGTTGCACGTATCACTTTTACTATATTCGCTAGAAAGTTTACAATGGACGGGATACATTGAGTGCAAGAACAGAGACCCGACTGACACGTGTGAGCAGGAATTGCAAACAATAATACAAAAGTAACACGCACACACACAAGATCATAAAGGCAAGAAAAAATAACCGACTCTTTTTTTTGCCTCGAATTCTCTTGTTTTGTTTTCGTTGCGATGTGAGCGCTGATAGGTGGTGATTACACGTGGCCACATGGGCACAATGAGGCTACGGCGTGACCAATTATGCCGGTCACGGCCTCATTGCTGCTGCTGTTGTTGCTCCACCGTTGCTCGGCACGCTGTTTTGATAAGCCCTCTGTGAGCCTATTAAACGCTCTCGAGTGAGACAGACTGAGGGATGTATAGAATGCCTTATTGTCCAGCACATCAAAGGGTGAGCTTCGGAAAGGGACACAGATAAGGGTGGCTTTTCCGTGCCAATGCACCCCGCTAAGGTGCAGCCTTCCCCTACCGGTTGTGCCCAAGACGATGGGCTGCGGAGGGCATTTTGCAGCACGGATTCTGAGCTAGCTAAACTGACTGGCTTTCCTCTGCTCTGTAGCTTTGTTTAGTTCGACATTTTAATCGTCTTTCAATAATGTACTGATCTCCAATTTTCACGATGGATACCGAACTTGTTTTTTTTGCTTCGGTGCACCTGTGGACTTTCTTTGTTGTGCATCGTTTAAATATATGTGAATGTGTATTTTTTTATTTAAAAAAATGTAGGCATCAACATAATTATCCATTGCTACTACTACTTAGGCCTCGAGATCACGTCTTACAGCTCTCGGTTGTAATTTCTTGGGCTCAATTTTTGATGCAATTCAAGCACGATATATAGACTCGTGTTCATCAGGTGCAGTTTCAACATAACTTCCTGAACATTTTTTTATATTTTTGTGTTTAATTTATTGTCCTTTTACCGCACCTCCGATCAGCATCATGGTTGGCTACGTACGGCACGAAAGAAGAACAATGATTTGATTTCATTGGCGAGTGATGACAAAGAACAGGCCCTGATGTGTACACCTTGGATGCGCGGTTTTAAGTTGGTCCTCTTTCTTGTCACTATTTCACTGAATAATTTCGAGTGTCCCTTCCCCCACAGCAGCCTCCACCCCCCGGCCACTTTTCTTATTCCCAACAACCCTTTTCTTTCCTCGATCCCCTTCTGCTAACTTGACATTATAAGGTCGCACCCGTTACACGCAAAGTGCTTGCCACAAATTAACCATGATACCTCGCTGCTTTCGTCAAGGGCCATAAACCGTCATGCAAACTCCTTGCCATCCTATCAGCGGCTTTTGGCTCGCCATCGAGCAAAAGAAGGTCACTGCATCACCGCACTTTCAGATGCGATCCTGCGGCCGTCTGGAACGTTCTTCCTTCCGATATTAGGAAGCCACTGGAGCTGTGCACTTTTAAATGGAGACTCAAAACCAATTCCTTTAGAACTGACTTTTAATGTTTAGTTGGCTGTCCTTCACCCGCAGTTCCGGTTAACACTGTTGGCTACGTACGGTGCAAAAGAAGTACAACATAATCCCTTCACACCCCCTTTTACTCCTCACTCGCTCGGCTCCTCACTGACTCTTCCCTAGACTCCTGCAGTCTACCTATTCTCTAACCTTCCCCAATAGCTCCCCCCATAGAAGGCAGGAAAAGTTATTGTTGCAGTGTATTTTCATGCAGACATTATCTTCCAGTTTATATTTAAAAAAAAAACTTTGTGGAATGTTAATATAAAGTTTGAGGAGTCTATTATATATACATATATGTACATAATTGTAATAAAGACTTTGTAAAAACAATAATAATTTTGATTTAAAGCTTTCGTGACTGCAGTAATTCAGATGGCAATGTTTTTTTTTGCAGATTTGTCTTGATGTAATATTTTTTCAAGGTACCAGGCACGAAGGTCTTTAAAAAAATATATATGCCTCTTCGGAGGGATGAGGGGGACACACACACACATTCATAGCATATTGCAGCAGATTAACTGTATAGCTTTGTGCAACTTCTCTACGTGTGACACGCAGGTCCCCGCAAACAGACTTTGGCAAAAGCAAAAAAATATATAGCAGCCCAGCTCTGCGCGTTGTTTCTTTTTCACTGGTGCGCCTGAGACACGGGGACGCTGTGAACAGGCAGGCGAAGAAGGGGAAATCGTACAACGTGGAGGCACGCGGCAGTATTTTTTGTTGTTTTAAGTGCCTTGCACGTCGCTTGGCGATGTGTGTGTGTGTGGGGCAACAGAACGCCGGCTAATGCCCCGACACGTTGTTATTATTATTAGGGCTCGAGGCAACTGCGGTAGCAATGGCTGGTCAAGTGCATAGGTGCAATGTGTTCATTTTCACTTGTTTAAGCAAAGAGGTGTTCACGTTGTTCAGCTGAAACCAACAAATGTTGTACAGTACCGTAAGGTGAACTGCAGGAACAGTGTTGTAGTTGTATGCTTTGCTCTGTAATTGAAGAAACCTTTGAGACTATTTTTTTTTTTAAACCTTGTTAATCTGTTCCAAGCCTCCTGCGGTGGCATTGGCGGTGGTCACACGAGGGCCTGACTCAACTCGCTATTTGTTTCATCACCCACGTTATTGTACGATGGCTATTTTAAAATGCATTGCTATTTTATATAAACAAAGCATATTTTTATACTCTTTGGTTCTATTCGGTAAAGTCACGTAGGTAAAAAAATAAAAAAAATAAAACAACAAAAATCACGACGTTTCGGCCACAACACAAGCGGCCTTCATCAGGTGAAGGGACCAGACTGTCTCGAGGACAGCGCTGGAGTGAACACAGCTAAACTCAGACCGCGACCTTTAAGCATCTTTTTGTCTTATATTCTAGGGTGTTCTAAACTAACCAAAAAGCATTCCTAAAAGGCCGCTCTACTTTTATGAACTGCTAGTGAATGATTCAATATTTTGATGAGGTGCAGTACAAAAAATTGTACATTCAGCTCTTAATGCTTATTCTGATGTATCACCTTGTAGCAATAAAACATCCCGATCAATTTAACACGTTGGCTTTCACCACTAATGTTATTTCCAATAAAGGTGTTTTGGGTTAGATCTCCTAAAGTATAAATGTGTAGTACTCTTTGGATCTTTCGGTAAAGTCACGTAGAGAGAAAAAGTATAAAACAATAAAAAAAAATCACGACGTTTCGATCGCAACATCAGCAATCGTCTTCAGGTGAAAAACATACAGGAGAGCTGCTGAGAATATATATAGGAGAATATATTCTCAGCAGCTCTCCCACTATATTTTTTACCTGTTGACGATTGCTTGTGTTGCGATCGAAACGCCGTGATATTGTTATTAATTTTTATTATTTGTTCTATCTACGTGGCTTTGCCGAAAGACCCAAAGAATGTCGTTAACCCACCTCCCAACAAAGCCAATTTAGTTACTACTGCAGCACACCAGTGTGTTGGAGAGAAAACCCACAACATATACAATGTACATTTATTCGATCTAACCCAAAACAAACGTTTATTATGAATCAGAATCCTAATGTCAATACCTAAAGCTGTCTGCTCTGCAAGAACATGCGCACCTAGCGAATGATTGTACAGTTTCCATTTGTATTGGAGAATATGGAGCCCCTAGTGGATTCAACTAAACTGGAGATGAGAAAAAATAAGTAATATTTTAAAATACCTTTTTAAAAAAAAAACACGCTTTAATTAAATGTGCAAAAAACAAGGAGCAGCAAACTCCCGAAGCTAAAAGACCACGCAGTGCAGCGCAGTGGAAGCGTGATATAGCAAACTTTAAGTAAGCACATGCCAATGAATGATTTTTGTATTCATCTTCTTTGGTTCTTTCGGTAAAGTCACGTAGAATGAGAATAAAATAATAAAATAACACAATTTAAAATTCTCACGACGTTTCGGCCACAACGCCGAAACGTCGTGAGAATTTTTATTGTGTTATTTTATTATTTTATTCTCATTCTACGTGACTTTACCGAAAGAACCAAAGAAGATGAATCCTTGCAGTCACGAAAGCTTCAAATCGAGATTTTTGTATTGTGTATTTTTGTATATAATTCTGTATCGGACTAGGACCCACATCTTAAAGAGAGGTTCCTCGCCTATAGCATCTGGCCTTTCACCAGCATTTATTCCAGCAAGCCTGACTGCTGATGATGACACCGTATGTTGAAACTGATAAGAGTTTGTTTGCATTGAATCAATGCTGCTGAAATTACACGCTCTCAGAAGGCACGGGGGCCGGTTGGTTGTGTACAGAAACTTACTTTTACGTGGAAAGATCAAAGTAGGAAAGAGACCTTGTCTGCTTACTATTTGTGTTAAATCAGCACACTCCAGTTGCTAACATTGCACTGGTGGGGGGAGGCAAAGGGCAACGTCTGATAGAAGCACACGCGGCCTTCCAAGGGCTAAGCTTATATCCAGCTTTTCCTGTCAAAACATTTGAGCGATTCTTGTACGTTCACTCGTGTTCAAACTCGCAGCGATGTACACTAATGTGTCCCTTTGTGAGCAGAATTGTCGTGCGCATTTGCCAAAGAAGCCTATGTGAAGTAAACAACGTTTGGCATTGACTACATTACTCACATGATTGATTGCTGTCCGCTCAAATTCTAGAGGGTATATGCCTGCAGATAATACACGCAGGGCACTCCATGCGCGGTGTTATTGTAGCTCGCAAAGCCCAGAGGACTGTTCTCCTAATCAAATTACATTCTGCTTCACCGTTGTTTACACGTTGCTCCAGTTTGCCTTCCTTGGTCTTCGTATTTATCCGCGTTGCCTGCAACTTACCAAAATGAAGGTCTGACCAACTGGTATGGGTTTTGAACTGTATTTCTCTCGTAAGAAAGCAGGTGCTGTTTTTTTTTCTTCTTCCCACAGCTCATCTAGAAGGGGGACTTATTCCCGGTCAATACTCTACATCGCCCCTCTCATTGTGAATGTCCCCTCAAGGTTCTGGGCTTGCTGTGCAGACAGGTTGGAAGATGTTATAGCTATATCTTCTCACGCTGTAGTCATCTGTAAATAAGGCCACTTCTCATTTGATTTTGGGTAGGCCGATGCAGAGTTTATTTTACCTTGCTGCATAACACCATAGAGGCAATTGTACAAACTAATGTTGTACAAAGCATCATATTTAGCTCCCGCTAAATATTTCATCGACTCCGCTCTCTTTAAATTTACCAATTGAGAATTCATTTTTGCGGCCAATCCCATCATATTTGTCAACGTTTCTGTCACAGGCCACAATTTTTAAAACGTAGGCTTTGCTACCATTGCCTGCTCTGGTAGGCAGTGGTAGCGCTGTGAGTAACATCGCTGGGAATGTTTCTACTCAATACGTAACTTTGTCCGAGCACAACATATTAGCACAACGCGATTGCTGCAGTTTAATGGCGGAGCTGTTCTGGCGAGCAGCAAGAGTTGGCACTGTCTACAAATATTGCATTGCTGAAAATTTGTAGTGACACGCACTGAAGATGAACATTGGTTGATTTGGGTGTAAGTCAAATTCTCAACCCGACACACCCTAAATGTCTCAAGGAGAGACACGACTAACGGTTTCTGTGCTGCACCATGTTTTACAGGCATGTGGGGCATTCAGTTCATGTCCCAGCAAGACCTTCACAGACGATGGTGCATGCTGCTTGGAGTGTCCGCTCGGCATGGGAGTGGCGGAGCCGTGTCAGGGACACAACAACACTCAGTGCCAGCCCTGCTTTGACAGTAAAAGCCAAACCGCGGAAGCACACACAGCACACTCTCTCCACACACAGCACACTCTCTCCACACACAGCACACTCTCTCCACACACAGCACACTCTCTCCACCGATGTGGCAAGCCTGCACATTTTTTTCCCCTTGGTTTCGTTCGACTGCAGGCTTTAGCAGAATGCCGTGGAGTACTGATGACACACCTATTCTATTAGCACATTAACTATGGTATTCACAAGCCCAATTTCACCTATTTGTTGCTGCATACAGTGTTCGAATTTTGACTGCTAGAAAATAGGAGCACATGGATCGGTGAATAAACACGAATCGGAAACATTTTGGAAATTAAAAAAAAGTCCAATCGGATTGGGCAGAAAATATCACGAGGCAGGAATGATGGCCCATGGATACGAATGGTGATTGCGTGCCAGCCAACGAAGGGAATGCGTCACGAGGGAGTTGACCATCATAGAGATGGAGCGATGAGATCAGTTTATGTGCAGCAGATGGATAGTAGCAGCACTGAACCTTGAGAGATGGCGACCGCATGGGTCGACCTTTATCCAGCAGTAGATAGACAATTTATAATTATGATTAGTGGATGTTATTTGCTTTTAGCAATATAACAATATAACATATAAAATAACGCGAGACGGTGGATTGTTCTCTCCAGGTGAGGAGGGAACAGCTGTCCTTAGTGGAGGAGTTTAAGTACCTCGGGGTCTCTTTCGCGAGTGATGGTACAAGTAGGAGTGCGAGATCGGCCGGCGGATCGGTGCGGCGTCCGCAGTCTTGCGGGCGCCGCACCGTTCCGTGGTAGTGAAGCAGGAGCTGAGTTCTCGAACAAAGCTCTCGATTTACAGATCGATCTTCTTTCCCCCCCCTTATTGTGATGAGCTTTGGGTAATGACCGAAATGATGAGATGGCGGGTACAAGGGGCCGAAATGAGATTTCTCCGCAAGGTTGCCGGGCTCACTCTCCGTGATCGGGCGAGGAGCTCGGTAATCCGTGAGATCCTCAGAGTCGAGCCGCTGCTCCTCCGGATCGAGAGGAGCCAGTTGAGGTGGTTCGAGCACCTGGCAAGGATGACCCCCCGGTAGACTCCCCCTGGAACTCTATCGGGCAGCACGTCCCACAGGGCTAACACCCCGAGGCCAGCCCCAGGACACGATGGCGGGACTATGTCGCTCGGCGGGCCTGAGAACACCTGGGAATTCCCCAAGAAGAGCTAGAGTCTGTGTATAGCAGTGTATCGTGAATAGTAGTGTATATTAATGGAGAGCTAGTGTCTGTGTATAGTAGTGTATAGTGTATAGTAGTGTATAGTAGTGTATACTAATGTAGAGCTAGAGTCTGTGTATAGTAGTGTATAGTGACGTGTATAGTCGTGTATAGTGTCATGTATAGTAGTGTATAGTGTAGTGTATAGTAGTGTATAGTAGTGCATAGTGTCGTGTATAGTGTATAGTAGTGTATACTAATGGAGAGCTAGAGTCTGTGTATAGTAGTGTATAGTGTATAGTAGTGTATAGTGTAGTGTATAGTAGTGTATAGTGTATAGTAGTGTATACTAATGTAGAGCTAGAGTCTGTGTATAGTAGTGTATAATGTCGTGTATAGTAGTGTATAGTGTAGTGTATAGTAGTGTATCGTGTATAGTAGTGCATAGTGTCGTGTATAGTGTATACTAATGAAGAGCTAGTCTGTGTATAGTAGTGTATAGTGTAGTGTATAGTAGTGTATAGTAGTATATAGTGTAGTGTAGTGTATAGTAGTGTATAGTAGTGTATACTAATGTAGAGCTAGAGTCTGTGTATAGTAGTGTATAGTGTAGTGTATAGTGTAATGTATAGTGTCGTGTATAGTAGTGTATAGTGTATAGTAGTGTATAGTCTACAGTAGTGTATAGTAATGTATAGTGTATAGTAGTGTATAGTATTGTATAGTGTATAGTCGTGTATAGTGTAGTGTATAGTAGTGTATAGTGTATAGTAGTGTATAGTAGTGTGTAGTGTATAGTGTATAGCAATGTAGTGCTGGAGTCCGTCGCCAGGAAAAGGGAGGTCTGGACCACCCTTCTCAACATGCTGCCGACGCCACTCTCACCAGGACAAGCGGACTGAGAAACGAACGAATGGGAGTTGTGTATATAGTATTTAAATAAATAACATTAATTGTTAGTATGATGTTTATCTCTTACACCGTTGCTGTGTCTGTATGTCTATGTGCATTACTCTTGTTACATTGTTTTTGCAGCTTTATTTTGGAAATTCGAAAACATATGGTTAATCTAAATTGTCTTTTGGTTGTTGTTGGCTTGAACCACATTGTAATTTTTGCACACAGCGTTTTAATAATGTTTTTGCGTGGAATATTTGCTGGTTGAATTCCAGGATGTTTCTGTTGCGCGTCGTCGCTTTGGGATGTTCTGTGTTCAAATTTTGTTTGTTGCGGTTGCACCCGACTTAAGAGCCACATGGCTCACAGGGCTACACCTAATACATGCAACTTGAAAACTATTCCTATATCTTGAAACTTGATGTGCATGCAAATCTGCTTTGGAACGTTATACCCCTAACCTTTTACTGTTCTCAAAAACGGGGTCAGCTTTCTGCTATTCAAAGCCCCCTTGGTATTTGTGCTAATACATTGGGCGTTGTCTTTGTGTCACATCTGTTAGGGTGTTTTTCTTTTGCATATAAAACACATATGACGTATAATTGGCAAGGGGACACGTGTATTCTATGTGTACACATGAATGCCATCTTATGCAACCTAAAATGTTCGTATTATTCTTTGCAAGTTTTGTTCATCTGCAGTCTATTGCTTGGATGTTTTGCGGAATTTGTTAATTTCATGGCTTCATCCATGCTGATTAAGCCAGGGCCCTGTTGCTAAGAGAGACCCTGAAAATGACTGTAGTCAGAATAGTGATTTGACCCTTCTATGACCTCACCAGAACCAAATTCCCTCAAGTGGCTGGTGTGTCAGCCCAAGAAATTAATCTTTTGAATGTGTTACATTTACGTCATTTTGTAAGAATTGTGTACGTTCATCAGACATGCGTTGACATTGCATACACATTCATAAACTACTGTACATCGAATTAATTCTCACACTGGATAGTGCACATGCTATGTCTGGGTTATTAAGCCCTTGTTTAATTACTTACACCCACAATCTGTAAATGTATGCGTGTAATGTGGCATAAGGTTAAATACATGAGCAAGTCAGACGAATGCCCATATAGGAACAAAGACAATTTGAAGCAATAGTACACCTCATAATAAAAATGCTGATCAGCTGAAATGTCTTTTTTTCCATCACAAAGAGTCTGAAGTGTGCATTTTGATAAGCGGATATGCTGTAATTATAAGTTTAGGATGAACAAAACGTGACTGATTTGACAGATGAGCACAATTGAATTATTGGACTGGTATTAACAAGACAAAAATAGTGCAATGGGTCATGATCAAATTATCCACATGTCCTTCCATGGCCTGACATGACTGCCGAGCAAAGGCAGTAGATTTCGATTTAAAGCATTCGTGACTGCAGGGATTCATCTTCTTGGTTCTTTCGGTAAAGTCACGTAGAAGGGAAATAATAAAATAATAAAAATAAAACAATAAAATAAAAATTCTCACGACGTTTCGGCCACAACACAAGCAGCCGTCCTCAGGTGAAGAAACAGAACTGTCGGAAAGACAGCTCGCAAGGATGTAATGATTCACATCCCACTCACACCCACCCCCCAATTGGTTGTGACGATTCAGAGAACAGTATTGCAGCTACTCGATGATTGAATGTTTTAACGTAATATATTTTTTACATCTTTTTGAATCTCATTGTAATCGTTCTGGTTTCATTCATTAGCCTAAATATTGTATAACATGAATATATTATTTTCACATCAATTTTATAGTGAAAATTTCCCATTCCCATACGAACGATTTAGTGCATGTATATCGAATGTGAGAATGTATGTTACATACACATAGTAGCCACTTATAGGGGACTTATGAGGGAAATGGTTTGTTGTAGAAATGCACGCTCAAAGTTTACACATCACAACACTCTCAGGACGGTCAGATGTTTTACCCGCTGTTGTACAATAATTGCAATCTTGCTTCATAGCGTAGCTACCATTTACTGTACGTACAAACATGATTGAATTCCCTTTGGATTACATAGAAAATGCAATACCCTAATCAGAATCTAAAGTTAAAATAATATTATAAACTATTGGCATTGACGCGTATGTGTTTTCTTTAAATGGTTGCTAATCGTGTATGTTGTTATTTAAAGTGCAGATGTCCCTTAGTCTGGTCGGGCATCATCAGGAAACTGACAGTGAAGTGATTTGAAATCTCTCTTTGGTCACGCTATTTTAGGAAGCTTTAAATAATCTGACCAAAAAAAACACCCAATGCAAAATGCAGTATGCGTACAATTACGTATACCACACATTTAAGTTATAATCACATGTGTGAACTTAATGGTCCTGATATTATTAGACCCAATGAGAATGGAGGAAATGTTCTAAATGAGCGAGGGGCCATAGAGTTGACCTTTGCGCGTGCCATATTAGAGCGTAATGGAGTATTGATTGAGTTGTAGTTTTCCTCAGAGCTGCTGTTTACAGTCAATGCCCTGATCAGTGTCATTCGAACATTCCGTAGGCATAACTCCATTTGAGTATATCAATATATAATGCCCGACAGAAAGGATTTGACATTAACACTGATTTATTGCGTGTAATGTTACATGAGAGTGGGGCAGGGGTACTAAACCTGCGTTGTTAGGATATGCCTATATGGGTAAGGGTGTCTCATTGCCATAATGCTTGTCAGTAAATTCTTTAAACAGTCTCACAAGTGTCATGAACAAAAATCCTCTTGATTTATGAATGCCATTCAGTTGCATTTTGATGTCCAATGCTACACTTTGTGACGCAACTATTGACCTCAAAATTTAGATTTGTATATCAACAAGGTGAATGGGTTTGCATAATTTTCTCCAGCAGTGGAAATTGGTAAATCATATTTTTTTTCGACTGTTTTAACTTCCTTCAAAGCAATCCCTTTTGGCGATGAAATATTTTTGCGTTGTAAGCCGTGACACGGAGATTGTTTCACTCGACACCCAATGGGGAATGCATTTCCTTTTGTGATTGTAATCCTCTTAGATTTAAATATATATCGCTGAACACAGATGGGCCGAAAGTACTTGCAAGCAATATAATGCACAATACGGATGAGAAAATTAGAGGCTGAGATTAAAAAGCCGACCATTACATAACAGCTGTGACATTACCACAGCACTTCTGTCAGGTGAGGTGCACTTTGAGGCTACTTTTGGGTGGCTTGCTTTGCAGGTCAGGGGACAGAATCAGATATTCGGGGTTAACTCACTGGGGTGATTGACCTGCACTCCCTACTGTGCTAGCCTGTGTTTTAGCCGCCTAATGTTCTGCTCACCAACTCATTGTTGCAAGCGCATGCACTTGCAATGGTCCCGACCAACACCACACACACGCATCACTCACTGCCACTTTTACGCAGCCTATTCAATCCATAAACCACGAAAGTTAAACTGTGCCTCTGCTCAAGTTTAATGAGCAACGTGCACTTAAAACACAGTGCCGCTTTACAAAAGCGCTCGTGTAATGAGGAATCTTCATCGCTACCGTGTCTGTTTAAAAGGGAAGGGGGGGTGCATAGAAAAAGCCAGAGTGAGGGGCATGACACCGTTGAGGCTCTCGCCTCAACTGTGTATATGAGGAGGGGGCTGCAGCTCCCATAGTTTTCATTTTTCCATTTCATCCAGCCCCTTCAAGCATTTAACAACAAAAAAATTGTTGACTTGAATACATTTTTTGCAGGAGTGTTGAGTCCTCTAGCCCTCGACCCGCCAAAACAACAGGACTGCTTAATCTTACGTATATGTTTTCCAAACTTCCTTCCCACCGTACGGAGCTAACTTTGCAAATTGGAGGTGCAGGGGAAGGACAACAAACTAAACACAAAATCAGTTTTAAAGAAATTAGTTTTCTATTTATATTTAAAAGTGCACAGCTCCAGTGGCTTCCCAATACCGGAAGGAAGAGCGTTCCAGACGACCGCAAAAGTGCACCTGAAAGTGCCGCGCGATGCGGTGACCGTCTTTGTTTGATGGCGAGCCAACAGCCGCTGTTGCGAGGAGGACCGGGGTTCACTCGATGGCTTTACGCTCCTGGACGAGATCGGCAAGGTATTGTGGCTCATTTGCGGCTTCGCACTTCGTGTGTAATGAATGCAAACGTTTCATTGCCTCCCACCCGTTCTGCCATCTATTCCCCCCCCCCCCACCTCCCCACGCCCGTGCAGGCGTGACGTTCTCAGCCACAGAGAGCCACGTGGAGGAGTGCGTGCCCTGCTCGCTGTGCCCCGCGCGGATGCGCGTGCACGCGCCCTGCACCAGCACGGAGGACACGGTGTGCGAGTGCAGCAGCGGGCTGTTCGCGGACCCGCAGCAGGTTGGGGCGTGCGTCGAGTGCCGCGTGTGCCCGCCGGGCTTCGGCGTCGTCGTGCAGTGCTCCCCCGACGAGGACTCGTCGTGCGCGCCCTGCATGTCCGGCTTCTACTCGGAGGAGAGCAGCGATGTGGAGCCCTGCATGCCGTGTTCATCCTGCTCCGAGGACCAAGAGGTGCAGCAGGAGTGCACGAGCAGCGCGGACACCGTCTGCATCGGTGAGGGCGGGCTGCGCCAGATATAAGCCCCAATTGAGTTCCTAACTCAATGCAAAAACGCTTTTGATTCGAATAATATCTTTATTTTTTTTTCTATTGTAAATTCCTCTGCCGGCTACCATTGTTTCATGCGCACATTTGTATGTTGGACTTCTTTTGCACCGTACATAGGCAACCGTGCTAACCGGAGGTGCAGATATAACGAAGCTACATAGCTTGTCCGGCACGTCACGTTTGCAGTCACGTGGCACACCTAAACATGATCTCTGTCACCCCAAATGGGCTTTGTCCCCCACTCGGGGAGGCCCAGGCGTGTGTGTTCTCTGTCCTCTGCGCGTTAATGCCTCACTGAGAGGGAGAAGCACATGCCACACGTACAGCATACAATTTAGTAAATGGAGGATAATCTATAATTATAATGCGCAATATACTTTTCACACGACGCAAGACATGTTACATGTGCGGTTAATTTTCAATGTTGACGGGCTATCTTTTTTCTTGTTCACATGATCAACAGAGTGTTTATTTCCACTGTTCATCTTGAGCCGATGGTGACATTTCCACATTCCTGTAACAGGATCCAGTTTTTCTACAGGACAATACAGTGCAGTAATCTTTTTACTAAGGGTCTTATTTATCAATTACCAATGGCTGAGTCAAGCGACATTTGAACCTACAACCTTCCATTGGTGACTTAGGCACTCTAACCACAGCAACCACCCAGCCATAATGAAATTAAAGGAAAATGGAGTCAGCCTTAGCTGATTCAATGCTACCTTGCTTATATATGGCAAGGCAAAAGATTCTAGAAAAAAACATTTAAATTATGCCGAATTATGTTCATATTTTTGTTAATACTGTGTTCATCTCTATCAATGCCTCTTTTCAATAACTGTATGTGATTAACGCGTGAATAAAGGCGTTAGAGTTAATCTAAACTAAATGGAAATTACATTTCAGATGTTTGCCCTCAGCACTTTTTATAGCTCATCACAGACATGCATTGTATATACATGTGGTCACACATTGCATCATCGTGCCAGAAACACGGTATTTCTATCTTGACCAAACACAAGCCTATCTATGCGCAGTACTGGGAGAGAAGGAACAGCTGTATTGTTTAGGTCACTCGCTGGCATGACCTTCAACATAAAACAGCTCATCTGTAATGAATTCAATACAGCTTCTAAACATCGGTGTTGATGGCAAAATGTCTAATGCATTTGTCATTCACTGCAGAGAAGCTAAAGTGGCATTTCCATTAATCTCAAGATGCGAAACAGGCACTGACAGTGGAATCTCAGGCAGTTTTAACGCACTGGCTCTTAGTTAAAAGTGGGCAGCTTGAACAGGGTGGGTTTTTCCCCTTTGCCATGTGGGGCAATTCCAGGACACCAACGTATATGTCATTGATCATCATTACATAGCTCACATCATCGCACAGCACATGTGGTCAGCTCGGAATGCACGTGTGGTTCGTGGATCTATTGCTAATGCATTGCATCTGTTTTCATCAACCTTTCTGCGACTTATGATAGCATGCATTAAAAAAATGACACGATTAAAGAGAAGCGATTTCTTAAAATATAAATCATATCATATTTTCAGAGGTCGATCGCATTTGTGTGTGCGTGTGTGATGCTTCTTGCCTGAGCAATGCCACCGTTTGCGGAAGAGAAGCGTGCTGGAGCTTGAGTGATGTTTGGGAAATTGTGACATCTCTCCCAGGTCTTCTGTAATCTCCGTGGCAGATGTAGAAAATAGGTTCACTGCAATTAAGCCATAAATCATTGCATTCAGTTTCAATCCGTTGAATGAACACGTTTGTAAACCTGATGCATATCACCGTGCCTGCTTAAAACGCAATCTGGACTCAAAAGTAGAATGACATATTACGAACAACATTGCGCTCGTAATTAGCATTTGCTCTGGAGAGAGTGATAGGGACGTGTAGTGTGATGGGTGGGATGGGGCTTTCATACATAAAAGAGGGGGCTAGCCAAAGAAAATACGCTAGCTTTCCTTCGATATTGCTCAATATTGCTTAATTGTGGCTGGCTGGCTCATTTGAATAAGCGAATCCTCAAAGGAATGAGCTGCAGGAATGAACCCTCTCTCACATACAACACAGGTTTATTTCCTTTCATTTTTGGTCACAGTCCAATGAAAACAACTGATGTCTCTGTTATAGATTCGTATTTACGTGATGGTGTGAAACTGTAGTAAATACACACACAATTGTTGACTAATATTGGTGAATAAATCGACCCAGCAGTTATCAGTGACGACATAACATTAAATCATATCAGAGTGTAACAAACATTAATATGCCTTTGTATCTTCATGCCAAATTCATTTGTCTGGGGAACATGGGAGCATATGACAAGTAGTTTTTGATCATCACTTACAATTTTCCAAATTATAAGCCTCGTGTGTTATTAAATAGTGATTTTAGCAGTTCCACTTCCCATGCTGTTACTGAAATTGCAGTACAGTATATGTACAAATTAATTCCACATTTAATCACGCAAGTTGATAAAAACGCAACTATTGCAGTCAACGATCTGATACATTCCGCTGCTGAAAGAAGCCTCTGAACAACCTTTATTCATAGTTGCTGTGTTACTGCAAACATGCTCTATGAATGAACAGTTAAAGGCTGCGAATAATACCCAGTGTGTGGCCAGTAGTTCAAAAAACTATTCATGATTAATCATTTCACATTTGGGGAAACTTTTTCAGTAACGTACCGTATCAAGGTTCCTTTTTACAGACTTAAACCAAACGTTAACCACAGTAACAAGCAAGAGACAAATGTGGTCGTTTTTTAAATGGAAGAGTGTATTAAAAGTGTCCATACATTTGACGTTTTTTTATTTAAATGAAACTAGTTTTTTTTGTTTCGACCAATATAAATCACAAAGTTGGTTACACTGATATTTGGAATGATTTTATCAGTCAATCTCCATCGGTCATCTCAGTGTTTCCACACCCACAAGTGTGTTTACAAGTACGGAATTTATCTTGGCTTTACAGAAAACATAACCATCGTAAATGCATGACATATATATAAAACAAAGCACAGACTCGTGACACAAGGAAGCCTCCATCGTGTCTATGTCGACCAGCGCAGATAGACACCAGGACAGATGCTGTCCGTTACGTTCCATCACCTCTGTGCACGCTGGCTTGACTCCCCGACCCGAGCTGGAGTGAGGTCGATGGTTGTGTGTCGTTGCCTTCTGTTAGTATTGCTTCTCAGATTACGTACAACGCTGCTTTTGATCAGGCTAATGAGCGACTAACAGCGTTGCCGTTAAATGCATACGGACAGGACCTTGAAGGCTGATTCTCTATGCTTGCAGGGATGAGACTTCAAGCCCATCCATTGTTTGGAGTGACGTGCCCCCTGGGCAATGGTCTCTGACTCACAGATGTGCCCTTATAACTTGAGCCTCCTTTCTTGGGATGACCAGAGTTGACTGAAGAAAAGAAAGCCCTTTCACAGGATTTGCTTATAGGAGCTATCTTATAATGATCTGAGAAACTCGATGCTGAGCCAGATCCTCTGAAAAATATGCTTTCCATTGCCTAATAATGTGCACATTTAGTATTTTGTGGTATGGAAAAAGACAGGCCACTTTTATATGCCCAGAAAATGTATTTTTTAATGGAATTCATTCAAGATTTCATATAGTGAACGCATGCCTTAAGAAAATCACGTGATACAAGCCGTTTTTTTATTGTCTTCCCCCAAATGTTTTCCCCCAATAGCTAAGACCACTCAGTTATTAAGTTTCATTTCAACATTGTCAGTTCCATCCCTCACTGCCGTCAATGAGCCCAGAGCGGACATTCTGCTTGTCAGTCACACCTGAGGTGGCAAGACGATCGTGGTTCCCAATTTCTTTATCTGGTTAATAACGCGGGATTACGTCATAACTATTTGAAATGAGTGCGTTAAAAATAAGTCACTCTTATTAGCCACACAAATAAATCGGTTATATGAAAGTGTTACAACCTTTCTAATTACCAACTTCTACCCTGGCCTATTGGGCTGTTTTAAAATTCCATTGCAACTGGCCACATTTACCACAAAATGTAGACAATCACCAGAGGCACTGTGTTGGAATGAATGATGGAAAGTGTTTCATTTTAATCTGGGAGAAGAAAGAAGGGAGGAGTTAGAGATTGAGATCTTTATTTGACAGGTATGGGCGGAACACTGAGAAAACACGTTTTTTTCATTCGGGTATTTGATTTTTGTGGGGAGCCTCAGGGTTTGAGTTGATGACCTCACCGAGACGTCCAACCAGCCCTGTAAGGGGTTTTATTTCATATTACGGTAATTAATAAATTATATCTGGGCAATGTGCTAGTTCTGATGCTCTGTCAAATCAGTTTAATAAAGCGCGAGTCTAAAATTATGGTCGGTAGCTCTAAAACTTCGGACGCGTTCACATTGCACCAACATTGAAATTGAACGTCATAAATTAATACTCTTCCGAGTATAGAATTCACATTCCGATTGTTTCAATAAAATTAGTACATACAGCAACCGCCGATTGCCATTAAGTGACGGTGGCATCACTACAGTGCTTTTGCCAGGCCAAGTGCACCTTCAAGCCACGTGACTAGCATCGACTTGTGTATCTGGTTAGACTTTGGATAGTGACTGGATGTAAATACTGCTATGATACGTTAGGTACTAGGAGGGCCCGCACCATGCCATGCTACATTTCTCTCACCAGGGTTGACGTAGACAGACTGCATCACGTACTCATTCTGCCCTGGGCCAACCTAGATTTGGTCTGGGCCAGTTTCAGACGTGACTTGCTACTTACATCTATGGCCAAAAAATCAAACAAAGATCCCAATGAAGGCAGGCACGGCACATGAGGGTGTGGGTGGCCAGCACTATGTCCGGCCGCCTTTGTCTCCCTAGTGGTGATGTTTACACACCGCGTTAGGTACTTGTTTGAGGCTGAGTCGACCTAGAG